AGGAAGTATCTGAGGCCAAATTTGAACTCAGGAAGATGAGTCTTCCTGACTCCAGCACTCTATCCACCATACCACTTAGCTGCCCTAGGAAAAGATTAATCTATTAATCTATCTATCTATCTGTCTGTCTGTCTATCATAGAGAGATAGATACAGTGCCATTTTCTCATATTTGGAGACAAATCCATCCTGCTGAGCGGCTCTCTGGGAAAATTGTGGGAATGATTGCTAGGGAGGGAGGGAATGGTTCCTTGGTGGGCTACCACCCAAACCATCTTCTTAATGCAGTCAGAGTCTACATCTTCAGATGCAGGCATATTGCGATGCCTTGTCTCATTTCTTCACAAAGAAGAATGAAGGCAAGGAATATGACCCAAAGGCCCCTTAGGAAGGCCAGGATTAGCACTTCCATCCCTGGAAGAAGCTAACCCTGCTCACTGACCATGGCTGACTTCCCCCTCTGGGGCCCTTCCCTGCATTGCTAGATGCCAAAGGTCTGTGATCTTCTCCGCTCAGCTGGTTGGGCCATAGCACTAATGAGGTGAAGGCCCCATGTTTAATCCCCAATATAGGCCAATTAGCTTTGGTTGGTGCCACATCACAGACTGTGTCCTTGCCCTAGACAGCCATCTTGCAAATTCATGACACCAGTCAGAAAGGGAGCCGGGTGAAAGTGGGGATGATTCAGCTTAACTTATTCTCAGGACTAGAAGATATGGCTCAAAGTATGTCCCTTCCTGATACTGGGTCTGAAGAAGCATCGCAGTGAGAGAGGGTCATAGATTCAGAGCTAGAAAGAACCCTAAAGACTCTTTTTACAGATGGGAAAATTAAGGCACAAAGACTAGAAGTGTTTGCCCAGGAAGGAATGAAGGTTGGCCAGCCTGGGCTTCTTCCCAAAATGGAGGCCCTTGGAGGAATGCACCACTTGGAGAACGGGGCTAGCATAGTGGATGGATGGTCCAGAGGAGGAAGGCTGAAGGGGTGAATGGATGTTCCCAAGTGAGGAAGACCCAGGAGCTGAAGGAGGTTCCAGGGTGAGAATACATGCATTCTTTTTTTAAAAAATTTCCTGTAAATAGTATTTTATTCTTTTCCAATTACATGTAAAGATAGTTTTCAACATTCATTTTTATAAGATATTAAGTTCCAAATTTTACTCCCTCCCTTCCTCCCCAAGATGACAAGCAATCTGATATAGGTTATATATACAATCATATTAAACATATTTCCACATTAGTCATGTTGAGAAAGAAGAAACAGAACAAAAGGAGAAAAGCACAGGAAAAAAACAAAGAAAGTAAAAACAGTACGCATCAGTCTGCATTCAGACTCCATAGCTCTTTCTCTGGATGTGGTTAGCATTTTCCATTATGAGTCTTTTGGAATTGTTTTGGATCATTGTATTGCTGAGAAGAGCTAAGTCTCTCATAGTTGATCATCACACAAAGTTGCTGTTACAGTGTGCAATGTTCTCCTGGTTCTGTTCACTTTGCTCAGCATCAGAACACACAAATCTTTCCAGGTTTTCTGAACTCTGCCTCCTCTTCATTTCTAATAGCACAATAGTATTCCATTACATTCATATACCATAAGTTGTTCAACCATTCCCCAATTGATGGGCATCTGCTCAATTTCCAATTCTTTGCCACCACAAAAAAGATTTGAATTCATGCATCTTTAATAAATGGTAAGTCCTTAATAAATGCTTGTTCCTTTGCCTTCCTGACTCCAAGTCCAGCGCTCTGTCTACCATGCTAAGCTTTTAATTACAACCTCCTTGTTTTACAGATAAGAAAATGAATCTGAGAGAGTTTATGGGACTTTCCCATGCACATGCAACTAGTTAGTGGCTAATGTAGCATTTGAACTCAGGTCTTCCTGACTCCAGGTTTAACAAATTATCCACCATGCCACCTAGATATGTCAGGTTAAGGATGCCACCTTGATGGAGAACACTGGTAGCCCCATGCATTACTAAAAGCTCCTCATGCCCAGAAGAACCCATTGACTGTCTAGAGAAACACATGACACCCCAGTCTCTAGGACCTTAAGATGTATTCCCAGTGACTATGCTCCAAGCCCCATCCTTGAGGATCTGGGTGACTCCCCTCTAGATGTAAATATAGAAGAAAATAATATATACCTGTCTTTCTGTGATCCCCAAGGGTCTTAATAGCTCTGATCTTGCTTCTCCTTAGAATTCCTTGGTAAGGGAGCCTGGGCAAAGAACATTGCTGTTATTTGTCAAAAAAGAAGAACTGCCCTAGAAGAGGTGAATTAACTTATTTGAGGGCATAGGAAGCATGAAGCTAATGAAAGTGGATGAATAAAAAACAAAACAAAACAAAACAAAACCAATAAAGTAACAAGATTGTTGTTTTCTTTTTAAACAAGCGTAACAATTCTTTTATGCAAATGAGTGGTGGGACTCCTTTGAAGTCCTCACCCTAAGGTGAGGAAATAGTGACCTTGTCTTTTCAGAATGTATTTGTGCACCCCTTTTTGGGAAACTCTTCAGAGAGAGCTATGAATCATATAAGCAAATCAGTTCTGTTACTTGATAGTCAAATCAAAATTACCTCCATTTTCAGAGGCCAGATTTTGCGACCATTGAGGACATTCCAAAGACTTTGTGTGTTGCACATGGCATACAGGAAACAACTCTCCCCACCCCCAATGATCCCCTTCCCTTCTCTTCCCTTCCCTCTGTCCTCTTTCTCCTCCTTCTCTTCTTTCTCTTCCTTCTCCTCCCTGTCCCTCTGTCCTCTCCTACTCCTCTTTCTTCTTCTTTTTCATCTTCTTTTCTCTCTCCATTCCTCTCTCTCTCCATCCTTCTTCCCCTTCCTTCCCTCTCCCTCACTCTCTCCCTGTCCATCTCTCCCTCCCTCTCTCCTTCTGAACTCTTTCTCTCTGTCTCTCTTTCTGTCTATCTCTATCTCTCTGTCTCTGTCTCTCTCTATCTCTCTGTCTCTCTCTCTCTGTCTCTCTCTGT